GTTCCTGATGTACTGTTATTCTATGCAAAAGGACTTCACAGGGGACACAAGAATTTATTTCAGGCACTTCCAAGGTTATTAACCCTGTGGTTTGACTTTGGAAGCATGTATCAAAGAAATGGTTCATCAAACAAGGATTTAAAGAATGTACATGCAAAGGTGCACAGAGAAATTTATTCTCTCTTTTGTTTTCTTTGTGTTCATTATGTTGAAATTCTTATTTGGCATTTGTTGTTTTTGGACTATAATTGGTTTTCTTTTACTTTGGTAGGTAATGAGTATTATAAGAGGCTGTTTGAAGGATTTACCAACATACCATTGGTTGACAGTTTTACCTCAATTGGTTTCAAGGATTTGTCACCAGAATGAAGAGATTGTGCGACTGGTCAAACTTATCATTACCTCTGTTCTCCGCCAGTATCCACAACAGGGCCTGTGGATTATGGCTGCAGTTTCAAAATCCACTGTTCCTTCAAGGCGGGAAGCAGCAACTGAAATCATACAAGCTGCTCGTAAAGGATTCAGTGCAGGAAGTAAGGAGAACAATTTATTTGTTCAATTTGCTACACTGATTGATCATCTGATCAAGTTATGCTTCCATGCTGGTCAGTCAAGATCAAGGACAATTAATCTCACTACTGAATTCAGTTCTCTGAAGAGGATGATGCCGCTTGGAATTATAATGCCTATTCAACAATCTCTTACCGTTAGTCTTCCAACATATGATGGGAATCTAGGTGATTCCCACGTGTCCAATATCTTTTCGGCTACAGATCTTCCTACTATATCAGGCATTGCTGATGAGGCAGAAATTCTTTCCTCTCTACAGCGGCCTAAGAAAGTATGTTATCTTATGTTGCCGATTTTCTACCTTAATATTTTTGTCTGATTCTTGAGGTATGCAGTTCACTTAATTTAAATGCATGCTGTGGTATAGCACTATTTTCGGGGTTTCTACATAATTTCAATTGAGGAGGCATTATAAGTCACTATAGACCAAACTATAGTATTGGTAGTGCTTATTCTATTACCTTATTTAGGTAGCATCAATGTAACGTAATGTTGGAGGGGCCAATTGGGCATTATTGTGAGGATGTGGCTTGCTCAAGCATTAGTTGGTCTCTAATTAGGAGAAAGTGGCTGGGGTATAAGAACTGCGTGGATGGATTAGAATGGTGCATGACTATAGTAATTACTCAACTTTTTGAAAAAGATCACAATTCTTTTAGGGGTTGCATTCCAAGTATTGATATTTGATCAAAATGCCTAACAAAAATTTGGCCATGTATTTATTTGCAAACTCATTGCAAATATCACAGTGCTATTTTCCTTCCACTGGACTATTTTTTACTTAGTATATTTATCCATTTTCAGTAAATACTGGATAGGGCTAAAGAACATTTTTGCCAATGAACTCACCAACAATAGAAAGCGCTATTGTCTGCTGTCTTGACTGCACCATCTTTTTAATAAAAATGTCTTTGATTTCAGATTGTTCTATTAGGAAGTGATGGTCTTGAGCACCCATTCCTTTGCAAACCAAAGGATGTCTTGACTGCACCATCTTTTTAATAAGAATGTCTTTGATTTCAGATTGTTCTATTAGGAAGTGATGGTCTTGAGCGCCCATTCCTTTGCAAACCAAAGGATGACCTTCGCAAAGATGCTCGCATGATGGAGTTCACTGCAATGATCAACCGATTGCTATCCAAATATCCCGAGAGCCGTCGAAGGAAGCTCTATATTCGAACATTTGCTGTGATCCCTCTGACTGAGGACTGTGGCATGGTAGAGTGGGTGCCTCACACTCGTGGACTTAGGCAAATTCTTCAAGACATCTATATTACCTGTGGAAAATTTGATAGGCAGAAAACTAATCCTCAAATTAAACAAATTTATGATCAATGTCAAGGTAAAATGCCGGAGGATGAGATGCTAACGAACAAAATCCTTCCAATGTTTCCTCCTGTTTTCAACAAATGGTTCCTGACAACATTTTCAGAGCCAGCTGCTTGGTTCAGGGCTCGTGTTGCTTATGCTCACACGACTGCAGTTTGGTCCATGGTTGGGCATATTGTGGGGCTGGGTGACAGGCATGGTGAAAACATTCTTTTTGATTCTACCAGTGGTGATTGTGTTCATGTTGATTTCAGTTGCTTATTTGACAAAGGCTTGCAATTGGAGAAGCCTGAGCTTGTTCCTTTTAGGCTAACTCAGGTAAGAGAAGCACCTAATTGGAAAATATATTGTAAACTAAGCATACTATTTTGTTTTTTCTCTGATGATCATAACATCATTGGGGAAAAAAAATCATCACTACTTAGAAGTAAAGATTATGCTTGCATCTGTGTTCTGACGGATTGCAAAACCTACAGAACATGATTGATGGCTTAGGTATCACTGGATATGAGGGTATCTTCTTGAGGGTTTGTGAAATCACACTTTCAGTGCTGAGGTCGCACAGGGAGACTCTCATGAGTGTGCTTGAAACTTTCATCCACGATCCTCTTGTGGAGTGGACAAAATCTCACAAATCTAGTGGTGTAGAAGTGCAGAATCCACATGCACAGGTTTATTCAGTTTTTGTTTCATATTGTTAATGCAATAAGTTTGAGCTCCTCCTGAAATTCGTTCATATTTTCATTGAGGATTAGTTTAGATGGAAATAATGTTTAAAAAAATCCAATTTATATGCCTTTCTTTTTTTGTTATTCCTGTAAGTAGATAATGGATTCCTACTTCGAATATTGAATTCCTTTAAGCAGATAATTGTTGCAAGACACACGAGCAATTAAATATAATTGTTGTAATTATCTTTTATGGATTTTATCAGAGGGCAATTAGTAATATTGAGGCAAGATTACAAGGAGTGGTTGTTGGTGTTGGAGCTGCTCCATCATTGCCTCTTGCTGTAGAAGGTCAAGCTCGTAGACTAATTGCTGAAGCGGTTTCTCACAAGAATCTTGGCAAGATGTATATATGGTGGATGCCATGGTTTTGAAGATTTGGATGGGTGGAGTAGTTCTTTCCATATTATTTCGGACCGGTACGATATGATGTCATTAGTTTCATTTCCTTCCTCGGTTTAATTTTTGATTGTTTGTGTGGATATATACGGAGCGTTAATCTACAAATTCAACAAGCAAGGAGAGGAATGAATGGATGAAGGTGGTCTTTTTTTCTGGTCAAAGGGATTTGACCTCATCATGGGGCTGAATGTATGCGTGCTCTGCTTCACAGGGATCCATCTCATAGAAGCATTGTCAGAGTTGAAATTACAGGTGTTCTGCTATTTATTTGTATATATTCATTTTAAGGCCATTGTGGACGCATTCCTTTGTATATGAACTGACCTTTAAGGCCCGGAAAAAACACGGTGAAAAACAAAGAAATGCTTACTCAGAATTTTATAGAACGTAATCCCTTTGAATCGTGAACAAATAGGCCAACACATGCTAAACAAACATTGGTTGTCTTTCTTTGTTCAAAGTCAATGTTCAGGTTAAATAATCGCCCCATACACAAATACTCAATCCGAAAGCAGCCCCAAATCAATATTAAATTTTACCCACGTTTCCACCATTTACATCTTTGCATGAGGGTAGCAGCCAAACTTTGAACATACATGTCACATTATTTTTCGAACAATATTGCATCATTTAAGTCACATTAGGTTAAGTTACTCATCCATTAAATTGTCCCCTACCAATCATTTTACGATAATTGCACCACTAACGCAGTGTCTGTTTCCATTGTAAAAAAGTTAGAAATTCAAAAAAAAATCTTCTCTCTAGATTAAAAATTTGGACATGTTCAAATTTTGTAATTAATATTTATTATTATTATTATAATAATAAAAAGTAATTAAAATTATTATATTAAAAATATATTAAAATAATAATAAATAAATCTAATTTTCTTTTTATTCATTTTCACCATTTTTTCTCCATTCAAATGATTCTGCTTTCTATTCTCTTTTTCATTTTTTCCACCCTTCAAATTTATTCTTCTATCAAAACATACGCCAAGAGCTGTATAATTTTCCATAATCTTAACCTGGTTTCTTGTTGTATTGATTAGCTAAAAATGTAGCCAAGATGTTTTCCTTCAAAAAGGTAACCAATTTGGATTCAGGCCGTTGAATAAAATCCACCATCCACCAATAATAACTCACTTAACTTCACCAATAATAAATCAAGACGGGTCGATGAGTTAAATCAGTTGAATAATTTAATTGTATATCTTATTTTTTATATCTTTAAATTATTAAAATAAAAAATTAGATGAATAGATTTGTTACAATAGGTAGATTAATTTATTAAAATAAGTGAATTAATTCATTGAAATACGTTTTATTTCAAGAATTTATCCATACCATTAACTAGAAAAAATTATGATATTAAAAATTGAGAAAAGATCAACCCATCATTTAACCGGCTCAAACTCATTTAACAGGAGCTATTTTGACCTATAACAAGGCAAGTTGGCTCACGGTTCAACCAAATTTGACACCTCTACCACCATATAAGCTGTATCAGTGACATCGGTACTGCTCCTTTTCTTCGTCTTTCTCTCACCTAATCACCTGGCTAAAACAACTCCACCCTCTAAGCACAACACCCTCCCTGGCCTAGGTCAGGTGTCATGAGATGGAAAACATCTCCAACAACACAAACATTGCCATTACTAATATTCCCCGACATGAGATCCCAGGGATGTCTATATTGCCATGGAGATGATCGGAAAATATCTACTTCAGTTTTTTCTATGAAGGCGCTACATCACTCGGCAGGGTTTTCTTCTAGCTCTTTCTCTGCAGGTAAGCATATGTGATTATACTCTGAAGTGTGTTTACATCAGAACCAACCAACCATGGTGGTGGAATAACCTATATATATACACTTCACCTAACACTCATAGCATTGCAATTTTAGAGAGAAGCAAGCCCTAGAAACTAAAACACTCCTGAAATGAAACCCCTTAGGTACAGTAATAAAATCCTATTGGTGTTGTTGAGTCAAGGGTGGCTTCCTCATTTCACACAACCAATTTTTAAAAGCTTTTCCTTTTGCAATAAAGCAGCCATTGTTCTTCCTATCAACCTTCAGAGGACTTCCCATGTTCACCATCATCTTCTGCACCAACACTCTTACCTTCGAATCCCCTCGAACACTGCTATGATTTCCCAAACCACAAACCACAGTAACTTCCGCAGGAACCCCACAATTCAAATCACTCAACCTTCTCCACATCTCCTCCAACCAAACCAACACAACCAAATAAGCCCCACCCAAGTGAAACCCATGCAAATCCAGCTTCACCTCCAACGACTCCCACACCATCACCTCCCCCAAAATCCCACTGCACCCCAACAACTCCCTCACCACCATTCCCTCCCCTCCATCCAAACTCTCATTCAATTCCTCAATTGACAACGCCAATCCCCTCAATTCCCCCACCATTCTCAAAACCCCAGGGCAACAATTCGACACGGAATTGTAAGTCCTAACAGAAAACGGAACCCCCGAATCCCTCATCCTCCGAAGCCACGCCACCATTTCCACGTGCTCCCCGTGAACTCCGTAAGCCGAAACAACCATGTTGCAACACACCGTGTCAACCACAAACCCTCTCTTCTCCATTTCTTCCACCACTCTCCGCATTTCCTCAAACAATCCCATTCTCCCGTATCCGTACACAATCGACTTCAATTCAAAACCCGACGGTTTAAGCCCAAGCCTAAGCCCATCCCCCATAACTAAACCCTCTGCCTCACCGGGCCTATCCATGGAACACAGCCCACTCACCATGTACTCGTATGCCCTGCGTTTCACATGAACCGAATTGGATGCGCGGAGAAGGTTCTTCAGGTAACCGTAAGCCACGTCGAAGCCGGTTTCAGATTTTCGTTTGGAGTGTGCCTCCACGAGTTTCCCGTAGAAAACAACGAGGTCGCGTTTGCGAGATTGTAGCTTCGAAGTGGCCTCCGAAATCAGGGCTTCAGATTGGGCCTCCTGGCCCAGTTTGTGGAGGAGCGCCGCGAGCTCCGCCACGGTGGTGGAGTTCCAACTGAACCACGGCGCTTCGCTCGCTCTTCCGAACAGCTGCAATATTTTTTAGCGAGACCCGTTAGCGGCCCAAATAAAAACCATAAAAAGTGTATTGGTAGCAGAATGGCACTTACCGGGAGGGCGAGGGGAGAGAGGTGTGGATAGGAGGTGGAAGGAGAGAGGAGGTGTGAGAGAGTGGTGAGAACGACAGATTTGGGAGAACCATCGACGAATCTTCGGATGAGGTTGTCGGTGGCTGCGGTGGAGGTGGTTAGCTTTGTCAGAAATCGTTGTCCTTGTTTGGTTAGTGTGGAACTCTCCATCGTAATTTTTGTAACTGGACGCTTCCATTTCCATGGCAACGCTTCGTGGTGACACTGCAAAGCATTCCCCAATCCCAGACTCATCATCCTCATAGGTCTCAGCTTCCTCTTCCCCACACTCTCACTGTAACATCATTGTTTTAAGGTCTTCGAAGAGATTATGGTAACCTAATTTGTCTTACCATGGATGTCCACCAAACTGAGTTTAAGTTTCATTTCATGTCATCTTTCTACCTCTTATACCTTTTTTACAGTGTTACCCACATATCAAGGATTTCCTAGTCAAGCTCATGGAAAAATAGTTACAAAATAAACTTCATAAAAAAACAATAAACAATTAATATTTACTTCAAAATTAATATTCAAAACATATGATACAAACTCTCCATGGAGAATATATTATACCACAACAGTTATAAATTATAATAATCCAACAAATGTTGGTAAGGAAAAGTTTACTGTTAAGACCGCACCTATCTAACCTGTCACAATAAAATTAATTAATGTGGGTGAAAATTAATTTAAATGACATTAATATCTTATATTGAAAATTAACTAAAAAAATATTTTATATGCTATAATATAAATACTATATTTATTTATTTCAATCGATAACATAATTTTATATATGATTATTTTCATTGATTGAATTTGGATCATTTATCACTCACAATGAATCACAACCGTCATAACTAGTGAATGGAAAGAATTGACAAAAGTAAAAAATAAAAACTTTCATATGAAAAATTTCATCCTGCTTTTTCTGACATATTTTGGGATCAGCAGGTCTTTGGAAAAATTAGTCTTGATTATTTTTAAAGAATTTAACAAATTTATTAGTATAAAATCTTGAATACTATCAATTAAGTAAAAATTATTTTAAAAGTAATTTTAAATATTTTTTTATAAAATCAATTAATATATCATAGAGTTACCAACACAAACCTGAACTAATTTTAACTAAAAAAAATTAATGGTCTATTTGACTTGTATTATAAAAAAATTACAAATTTTAGTTTAGTTTAACTTAGGTAACGGATAATGAACTGCTTTGATTAAAAATTAAAAAAAATATTAATTTATTTATATTAAAATAAATAATTAAAAATATTAAAATAAACATATAAAATATATTTTTAAAATTTAAATTATATTAATAAAAATATTTTTATTTAAAATATAATAATTTAATATATAAATTATAAAAAAATAAAATAAAATTTATTCAATTCATGTATATTATTTTATTAATTTAAATTGATAAATAATTTTAATTATTAAATGTTGAAATAAATAATTATTAAAATTTATTTATAATATAAATTAATCATTTACTAAATAATTTATAATTCATATATATATATATATATTAATAAAATAATTTAATTTTATTTTATTTAAAAATAATTATTACTTAATAAAAATGAATCTATGCATAAAATTATGGGTTAATCAGCATGTACATTATGATTCAATTTATGTTATAATATTTTTTTTAATTTTAACTATTTATTGAAACTTTTGATTTTCACATCTTAATATATATATATATATATATATATATAATAATAATAATAATAATAATAATAAATGATTAAAAATTATTATAATTTTTTTAAAATTAAATGTGGATTCTAATTATTTTCAATTAAAAAAATATTTATAACAACAAAATCTTAAGTTTCTATAAAACTTAAACAATTCATAAAACAATAATATTTGTTAAATTATATAAAACATGTCAAGGTTTGGTTTGTGAATGCAAAGAATTAAAAACATGTAAAGGACTGTGCATTGTGTATTAGTTGAAGTAATATAAAGTGATATATGATAGGATGATAGAGATTAGGGTTAACTAATGTTAAAAAGGAAAAGTTACGTTGGGAAGTGGCAGTGATGTGGCACGTAAACAGTGTAGTATGTGTAGAGTAATTTACGTGAGCATTCCACAATAATCTCTATATCTATCCCCCATCATCTCTCTTTTTTTCATCACAAAACCCAGCACAGCACAGGGCAAACCAGAGGGACCCCACCCCCACTCTCTCACAGATATCACCCTCTGTCTTCTCCCATCACTTCTTTGCTTTCTTCCATTCTCTTCCATCTATTTATCTATCTTTCTTGTGTCCTGTGTCTTGTTCCTCCTCTTCAAGGTATCCAAAATCGTCATTCATCAATCATTAATCTCTGCTTGAATAACGCACAATTCCTTTTCTTGTTCCGCAGGATAGGATGAACAAGAGCCCCATAACCGCCGTCTATAAGGCCCTTCCTGATCTCTGCCATCGGGAACTCGGCAATCTACCGCCCAGAAATTTCGCTCTTCGCCTTGGCGCCTCTGAGGTTCCACATCCCTCTCTTCTCTTCTTAACTCTCATTTTTCCGTTATTTTTTTCTTAAATGTGACTTTTTTTTTTTTCTTTCCATTCTTCAATTGTTCATGAGTAGTTAGTCTTGACCCATCTGTTTGCTTCCCTGGAAAATTTTTTATTGAGGATGAAAATGTGGCCCTTTTGTCCCCCTTTTTGTAAAGGGTGTTTTTGTTTTCGGTGTCCATCAAGGTGGTTGCTTGATTTTATAGATGATAATATTAGGCTTATATGTAGGCATATGAATCTGAACGTGCCTTTCTGCAGAAGCTCAAGGCTCTTCCTGATTATTAATTATGTGGTGTGTTTTATAGGATCTCGTCCTTCGACTTGATGTGCTCAGGAAGCTGCAAAAGCACAGAGGTTGTGTCAACACGGTCAGCTTCAATGCAGATGGGGACATTCTGGTGTCCGGTTCTGATGATTGGAGGGTTATTCTCTGGGACTGGGAAACTGGCCGAATTAAACTCTCTTTTCATTCTGGTCACACTAACAATGTTTTCCAGGCCAAGATCATGCCTCACTCTGAGGATCGAAGCATTGTCACCTGTGCTGCTGATGGACAGGTATGCCCGTTCTGTCAATTCCTCCACTTTGTGATAAGGATTGTGTGTTAACATACCTTGCAGATTTTCCTTTCATATCCGTGAATTGGATTATTTACATCGTCGTTGGGGTGACCATCACTATTCCAATTTGTGTATTAACTAACATTGTCATGATTTTAAAAAATGGTATGGGTAACTGTTTATCCTGTCCTGTGCACATATTTTATCATTGGGATGCCAAAAATGTAAAATGGTTTCTGGTGGTTCATTTGTTTTCCTAACTTTATTCATCTACTTTTATGTCAAGAAAAATATATTAATTTTACTGTTTATTATGTAAAGTAATTTTCTTAGATTGTTTACTAAGATAAGGGTGTTGTCCATGTGAACTCTCAATTATAGGTGAGACATGCTCAAATTCTTGAAAATGGAGGAGTGGAAACTAAGTTTCTGTCCAAGCATCAAGGAAGGGCTCATAAGTTGGCTATTGAGCCTGGTAGCCCTCATATATTTTATACCTGTGGCGAAGATGGATTAGTACAGCATGTGAGTGATTGATTATTTTCCACTTTTAATTTTCTATCGTTTATATCCTTTGGTAATCTAATCTCTCACTACTTGCTTTGACAGTTTGATCTGAGAACTGGGGCTGCAACAGAACTTTTTACATGCCAGCCAATCAAGGATAGATGGAACTATATGCCAGTCATCCATCTTAATGCTATTGCAATGGATCCAAGGAACCCAAATCTCTTTACCGTTGCTGGGTCTGATGAATATGCTCGTCTTTATGATATTCGAAAGTATAAATGGGATGGATCAACTGATTTTGGTCAACCAACAGACTTCTTTTGTCCTCCACACTTGATTGGCGACCAGCGAGTTGGAATAACAGGCTTGGCCTTTTCTGAACAGAGAGAGCTGCTTGTGTCATACAATGATGAGTTTATTTACCTTTTTACCCAGGATATGGGTCTGGGACCCAACCCAGATCCCGCATCCCCTAAATCAATGAACAGTGATGCAAGTGAACTTGGATGTAGTCATGGATCTGTGTCATCTCAATCCAACATGAATGGTGATGAAAATATCACCCCGCAAGTTTTTAAGGGACACAGGAATTGTGAGACAGTTAAGGGGGTCAACTTTTTTGGACCTAAATCTGAATATGTGGTGAGTGGGTCAGACTGTGGTCGGATTTTCATATGGAAAAAGAAAGTTGGTCAGCTTATTCGTGTCATGGAAGCAGATAAGCATGTTGTGAATTGCATTGAGTCTCATCCTAATACAATGGTTCTTGCAAGCAGTGGTATTGAGCATGACATCAAGATATGGACTCCAAAGGCCCTTGAGAAAGCTACTTTGCCCGAAATTATTGAGCAGGTATGAATTTGGTCTTGTGAAGTAAACTATTGCAACTTAAAACTTTGAATAGAATGATATTATTATACGTGAATGATGTCTTTGATGTGCAGGAAGCTCTAGTGTATTTATAAATCTCTGAATGGAAGTTTCTATTAAAACATCATATATTTAAAATATATTATAAATTTATAATGTACTATAATATACTATCATAAGAAGAACCCAAGTACATAGTGTGAAGATATTATCCAAAGCTTTTCTGCCCCTGGTTGTCCCTCAATCTCAGTTCAAGAGCCAAAATGTCTGATGTTGTACTGTTACCCTGGCCATAACTTTTGAAAATTCTAGATTCTTGTGCACCCATCACTAGTTATGATGGATCCTTTGTGAATTGTCCATTGATCAGACTTTCTGTTTTGATCATTGTTGTCAGAATTGTGTGAATAACAATTTGATTTTTAGATTAGATGTGATTTTAAAATACAGCAATGCAGATTGCACGCTGAATTATTTTCTAACATTGCTTGAATCACAGTAAAATTGCATACTGTGACCGTTTTGAACCAATTGGATTATGCATTAACATAAGTTGGATCATGCAAGGAACCCATGTTAGAAAAATTAAAGAAAGATGACATTTCTTGTTAAGCACTCTAGTAGTAGTGGACAATAACTTGAAAAGCTAGTTGTTAAAGAGGAAGAAATAACCACTTACATACTTTCCTGAGCATTACACATTGCTCCTTGTGAAACTTTGATCTCCAGAAGTTTTTAATGTGATTGTTGGTTACTAATTTTTTGGGATTCCATTGAATGCGAAAGTCCTTGGTGATCACTGCTTACATGTGGTTTTGTTTCATGTATCTTCACCACCCCATCTTGATTCAACTTTCACTTTAGCCTAGATAGCTTGTTGGCCCCTTCTGTAATGAATCTTATGGAATTGTCCATTGCTTCTCCCTAAAATTTGGATTGGGGTTTAGTTAATCCAATCGGATCCATCTGGCAAAGTTGGACCAATTTAGTGGGAATCCAAATTAGAAAATAGAAGAAACAAAAGTAAGATGATATATCTTGACACAAAAGAACAAAAAAAGTATGAGCAATAATTTCTTCCAAGGGTTTCCCCTTCACATCCTTTCACAAAGAGTAAAGCTCAGTTATCAAATTATATAACACAGAATGCCACTTTGCCACCCTACTCCTATTTATTTTCCTCTCAAATCCCCTTTGTCTGACTAACCCTTCTACTAACTTACTTGCTTACAACTAACAAACTGGTTCAGAAAAAACCATTTTGAGTTCAGAAACTTGGAACTGAACTTAACTTGTTTTTCTTTGTTGGGGTCAAAGCCAGAATGGCCCCCAATACCCAAAAGACAGAGTCTACCACACGGGCAAAGACCAGTAAAGGCCCATAACCACAACAGCACAGAAGTACACTACATGAATGGAAATAAAAACAATCATGTGCTTAAATTAGAAAGAGCTCTATATTGGGCCCTGATGATTTCATTTGATTGGACCAACTTGACTAATTCACTTGTCCACTTGGGCCTAATATTTATAATGAGTGAATGTATGACAGTAAGTTTTTTTAAGTTTAAATGAATTAAATAATTAGAAGATATATAATTTGGCATTTTGTATTTCTAAAATATTGAATAGATTGCATTTGCTATTTTTTTTTTCCCTTTTAGCAGCTACATATGTTTCAATTGATTGACTATACAATGGATTATTTGACTTTAAATTGCCAATTCAATAGATGTTTTTAATTGTTTTATATGTTAAAATACTTTTATGATGTTTAAAAGTATTAATCTTGATCAATTCACTTGGCAATTTGATTCATGATTTGGAAAATAGATCATGGTTTGAATCCTGGGTTAATAATCGAAGTTTTATGTTGTCAAGGTCAAAGTTGTGCTTTTTAATGCTTTCTCAAGTCTTTTGGCTGAGAGGAGGAACATATGCTTGCTGAGTGATAGTGTGATTAATTAATGGTAATGGTGGTTTAAGGGCTGAACATTACGTTATAATGTGCTGAGCATGAAATGTAGTCTTAGGTAGAACTATTAAAATATTTCTGCTGTTACAATATCACTTCTGTGAATTTTTTATTTTTTTTTTTCAAAACATTTGTGGATTGATCTCATTGATTTTGGTGTAAAATAATCGTTTATGGAAATATTCTGTTTTTTCTGAGTTCTCTAGTTAGGGAGTTCATATGGGGATTCTTGGTAGAGCAGTGTTTGAAGTAATAGACCGAGCTGGACCTTTCTGACTATGGTAACTGGGAACCAGCCGTGGCATCAGCCAACTAGACCATGTTAGACTCCAGAGTTTGAACACACAAACTGGCAGATTTAATTGAAAGAATTGTGGAATCATTCCTGAATTTGTAGTATAGAACAATATTACACATATTTGCCTTGCAGTTTATGACGTAAGTGATATAACCATTCTAGGGTTACTAAACAAACATAACTACCACAACATGGCACATAGCTATCCAGTCTGAACTTGTGAATGTTTGTTGTGAACCACCATGAACAGTAATGCAGGAAACTTCTGAACCAGTACTAGATTAGTTGGTTGGATCATTTCACATTGGGATGATATGGCAAAGCTATATGCTGCCACATCATTATTATAAGGCTGTATGATTTGTCAGGAAAATGGGAAAAATGGTATAGGTTTTGGGTGCATGTTGTGAATGCAAAACATGTTAAATAATTTATTTGCAAGTGATTTTATGAAAGAATATTGTATACATTTAAACATTTATGTTCTTAAAGTATTTACATTAATTTAAAAAGCTTCTAATAAAAGAAAAATTTTATATGCTGGTTTAGGGTTTAGAAAAGTGATTGGTCCAAGTGGAACTAGACTCATCTCCTTAGGCAAGGTTTCGAGGTTCAATCCTTATGAATAAACGTGGTTGAGAGTAGAGATTCCATTATAGGTGATCAATTAGGTTTTCTGGTAGAAATTAGTCATTGGTTGAGTCTGTAGATAATTCGCACCAATAACCTAGTTATTCAAAAATAACTTCTAATAAAGGAAATAATTTCACATGCTGGTCTAGGAAAGTCATAGGGTACGTAATTTTAACACCATTACTGGATACTGATATTTATTTTTAAACGATAAATCAGACAAAAATATATTTTTGTTACATGTACTGTTTAAGCAGCAGAGGAACTAATTTCTCTGCTGTACTTCTTTGAAGAAGGTTCACGTGTTTGATCGTATTCATTGGTTTACAATTGGTGGTGGTGGCTATGAGGACGACGATGAGGATGTTATGTTTGAGGATGACTATGATGTGGAGATGTCTGAGAATGATGATGAAGAGGATGAAGAGGATGAAGAAGATAATGATGATGACGATGATGAGGATGAAGATGATGAAAAAGAAGATGATGGTTGTGATGGAGATGATTATAATGATTATATCAATGATAATATTTGTGATGATGATGACAACAATGGTGTTGATGATGATAATAATGATGACAATGACAGCGATGATAATTTTGGTGGTGGTTCTAATGATGCAAATTGATAGAAAATTTTGTGTCCTACAGAAACCGAAGGCTAGGGGCTGGATGTACAGGATAGCTTCTCCTGAAGACCTGATGTTGCAACTGTTCTCACTTCCAAGACGAAGGGTTAGGACAGAAAGCAATGGAGATAACTCAACTACAGATCGAGACCTTCTACAGTTGATACTGACCTTCAATGCTAACAGTGACAGTTCTAATGATGAAGATGACGAGGATGATGATGGAGATACAACCAGCCAAGACGACTTGTTTTGTTAGTTGAGAGTTTACAAATTGGTCATTACTTGGCCGTTCTATGAAACTGCTAGCAAATTGTAAATAACATAGGATTAACAGAAACTTTGTCTGGAATATTGCATACTAAGTCTAAACAATATTCTACCTTCAATTTTTTGCTGTCATTTATTTTAATGAGTTCTGCTTTTTCTGCTCACAGGATTTTAGTCATTTATGACGTGTGACTTTTATTTTTATTATTTGTATCGAGTTATCCGTAGATGATGGGAAATGGTGGATTGCAGAGCCTCTGGGATGTGTGTCAGTGTTAATCAGTGTCCCTAGTATGAGTTTTAGTGCCATGTCTTTTAAAATGTTTATATTCCTCAAAAAACAGTTTAACTAGTATTTTATTAACGTTCATGAGACACCGTAAATGTTTATTTTATACCATTCAAATTTTTAATAACAAATAAATATTTTTGAATGTATAATTTAATGGTTTTTCATTTTGATTTTTATTTTCCAATAATACTTTATATAAGAATATTTGGTTGGTAATTTGACTCTTCCTCTTGCAATTAACTCTCCTAATTTTTAATTAAATGATTTAATTAAATAAATAACTCATTTTAATTGTTTTCTCTTTCTATTTTGTTAATAATAGTAGGAAAGTAATGAATTATGTGGGTACGACAAGTTTTGCTTCTCACTTGCCTTTAATTTCTTTTAAAATCTTGTTAGAATTTGAGTTTTCGTGGACTTTTCTTTGTTATTTTAAAATATACTTATACATAAATTATAATAAATAAGTTTTAATATTAATTTTTTATATATAAATAAATATATTTAATTTTATAGATTTTTAAATTATTATTATTATTTAATATATATTTTAATTTATTATATGTATATTAAAATATGTATATATAAAAAGTGTTTTATCATATTTTTATTGATATGAAATATTTATAATATTATTATTATGATTATATTATAATATTATACTTAAACATTTGATTATTAAATATATGAATTAATTATTTTTTAATTAATTATTTTAAAATATTAATAAATATGAAATATATAATTTATAAGAAAATATTTGAAAGTTAAATCCTTTTAAAATTAGTATAAGTAATATATTTTAATTATTAATCTTCATAACTATAAATTCTTTAAAATATATTAATTAAAATACAATTTAATATATAATAAATAAAAATATTAAAATTTACAAAGTATCTTATCTAAATTTGATATATAATAAATAAAAATATTAAAATTTACAAGATATAATATATAAAGACAAACTATAAATAAAATTATATTAGTTTTTTTTAAGGTTAATATAGAATATTTAGAAAAGATAAAGAAGCAAAAAATTTAATCTTGTGTTCATTGAAGAGATTGAGAAAATTAAATTGACTAGAAAGATTAATAAAATATGAATAAAGAAAATGTCAATGAAAGAAACAAAAGTATGTGTTGAAATGGTTAAAGTGATTTAGAGAGACAAATGAGTGAAAAAGAAGTGAGAAAAAAAAATAGAGAAGAAATAACTTTTAGTGTAATTATAAAAAAGTAAAAGATTTAAATATAAAATTAAAACAAACCATTCAAATATTAATTAATGATTTTGGATCCAACAAATTTTAAAGACATGAATGGAGAAAATTATATTATCAATCATGTTTTACAACTTGATTTTTTAAAGTAGAAAAACTGTAAACTCAACCAACTTAATTTTTCCTTGTTAATCTCAAGACAGATGTTAAAATTATGTTAAAATCTAATCAAAACTGGAGTTATGAAAATGTTAAAAAGAAAAGAGATGTAAATAAATAATTGATTATAAAGTAATAAAATACTATTTTATCTTATAACATCATAAGTATTTTTATTTAATTATTTATTATTATTATTATTATTAAAAGTTATAAAGCATATAAAAGATGAAGTAAAAACAATAATTAATTGATGATATTTTGTCAGGTGTAATAATTTATCACATAAAAGGAAATATATTTTATCATTTTTATATGCACTAATGGAAAGGCAAGCATTGGTGGGTCTATTTACCATGTTTTTTTATATCATTAAAATTTTTCAAAAAATAATTATTTTTTATTTAATTTTATTATTTTAATATATGTGACACATTTTCTCTTTTTACTTATTGTTGAACTAAACCATCGATCACTATTCTTTTTTTTTAATATTAGTGATGAAATATTAATTTGGTCCCTAATAATTTACCCACCAAATTTTGATTGTTAATAATTTAGTGACCAAAAATATTAGTCATTATTTGATTTAAAAAAATTATATATTAGCAACAAACATGGCTAGTAATAATTTATGGTTCAAAGTCACCAAATTATTTAAAACAAAAATACTAATGATAAAAATATTAGCCGTTAATAATTTAACAACCAAATATTGGTAACTAAATAATTAAAAATAAAAATATTGATTGCTAAATTATACAACCAAAATAGTACTCACTAATTAATTTAAAATATTAGTGATAAAATATTGATTTGATCGCTTTAAGGACTGATATAATGGTTATTACTTGATTTAAAAAAAATAGGTAAGGAAGTATTGTTTTCATCGTTAAGTTATTTAAAATAAAAATATATCTGACAAAAATGTTGGTTTAAAATTTAGGATTTAAGATAAAAATATTGATCATTAATTAATTAAAATTAAAAAATGTTAGTGACGAAAATATTAATTGTTAAATGATATAAAATAAAAATATTAGTGACAAAAATATTAATTTTATCATTAATATTTTTTCTAACTTATTAAAACAAAAATATTGGTTAATAATTTAGTAAGCGGAATATTATTCACTAATTGATGTAAAATTAAAAAATTAACACAAAATTGTGGATCATTAATTTATTTATAATAAAAATTTGACGCTAAAAATATGATTTGGTCACTCATATATTAGCAACAAAATGTTTGGTCACTAAGTTATTAAATAAAAATATTATAAATGATTTCTAATACTTCAAATACCAAAATATTGGTCAATAAATTATCTAAACCAAAAATATAAAAAAAAAATTGTTTACTAACTTGATTTAAAATAAAAATATTTTGTAACACAAATATTTGGTTTCATGGCTAATAAGTTAGGGAACAAATTTGGCCGTAATATTATCTAAAACATAAAAGTTAGTGATGAAATATTGGTCATTGATAATTTAGTGACCAAAATATTGATTACTAATTTATTTAAAATAAAAATATTAAAAAAATTGGTCATTTATTGATTAAAAGTAGAAATATTAATGACTAAAATATTGATTTCGTTGCTAATAAGTTAACAACCAAATTTGGTCAATAAGTTAATTAAAGCAACAATATTAGTGACGAAAATATACTTCACTAATTATTTAGCAACCAAAATACTAGTTACTAAATTATTAAAACAAAGGTATTAGAAACCAAAATATTATCGGCCTAAATAATGGTAATAATTTATTCAAAATAAAAAGATTAGTAATGACATTATTTTGTTTAAAATAAACATATTAACATAATATTGCTCTGGTGGACCAAAATTTTGATGACTAAGTTGTTTAAAATAAAAATGTTAGGGACAAAAATATTAATCATTAATGATTTAATGATCAATTGGCGACAAAATATTCTTTATTAAATTATTTAAAACAAAAAATATTAATGGCAAAAATATTGGCTCTTAAAATTTATTGCCCAAAATATTTTTCACTAAATTATTTAAAATAAAATATTAATGACAGAAATATTGATTGATAATAATTTAGCCCCTACAATGATGATCATCAATTAATTTAAAACAAAAATATTAATGATAAAAATTTGATTGCCCATTATTTAACTAACTAAAATATTAACGATGAAAAAAAAACTATAATATTGACCATTATATTATTTTAAACAAAAATATTATTGATGAATTAACGATCATAATATTAATCACTAATTAATGTAAAATAAAATATTATTAACCAAAATATTGATTATTAATTGATTTAAAATAAAAATATTAGCCACCAAAATTTTAGTTATTGGGGTTTTTAAAACAATAATCTCGGTGAATATAATAATTTAAGCATCAAAATTGATCATTAATTGACAATTATACTCACAATAATTTCAAATTAATTCAGAATATAAGAATCTTTACATTTATACATTCTACATAGTATTAAATGTATATTTTTTTAATTGTTAAAAAAATATAATTTCTTAGAACATATTTAAGGATGAGTTATTATTAAATCTAAAATGTCACGTTATATTTAAACAATTATCTTCAAATTTTTATAAATTCATTCTAATAATAGATTCTTATAAATAACTTACTATTTAACTTATTTTTACAAGATGTAGTACTAAATTTTTCTACCTTGAATTACTTCAATGACAATTTTGTATAAATACATTTATTTATAAGTAATTGAATACTATCACAACAATTGATTAGGAACCGTTACAGTTATTAGGAAAAGTTAATAAATTTAATACTATCACAACAATTGATTAAAATTGCACTCTAATCAAAATCATATATTATTAATGAGAAATAGGAGTGATCTAGAAAAAAATAATAAAAGTAAAATTTAATTGACCAAAATGAATTGTGACTCTACCTCGTGGTGTCACATGATATTTTATTTTATGTATGGTGTTACCATATTTTGTGGTATTTAGAAATTACAAATAAAAAAACTGAGACAAGGGGATCGGATTCTTTGTTTAGTTTAGTTTGTTTGGTCTGAGAAGAAAACACAACACAATTTGGTTGATGATGGAAACGTTGGCCACATCTTCCTCTGCAACTCTTCCATCTTCCTCTTCTCCCTTTTCAATTTTCCCTTCAAGAAGACCCTCCCTTTATCCCCCCAAGACTATCCAATTTCGTTTACCCTCCAAGCGTTCGTATTCTATGATTTTCTTTTCGGTTACCCATTTGTTTTCTGCATAATTTTTCTTAAACTTTGTGTCTTGTTTCAGGTGATGATGGTCGCGATTCAGACGCCAAGGATAACAGCCTTCCAATTATCAGTGATCGATGCCTCTCCCTTTCCCCTTTGTCCAAAGTACGTTTTTTTTTCCTTCCAAAAGCTTCAACTTCAATCAATTTCTGTGCATTACTTATCCCGAACTTGAAGGGGTCAATTGTATTCTTTGTAATGGATACAAAAAAGCTGTTTTTTGGTCTAAAAGAAAAAAAAAAAAATCAATTGTGTTATTATTCATTTACCAAAATTTACGCTTCAATGCATTTTCATGCCTAACATAGCTGAAATTTCAAAGGGTCGGTTACGTGCCGTGAAATGGTTGCAAAAAAAAAAATGTTGTCATAAAAATATTTAATTTTGTTTTTCCTTTCCCAAAATCTGAACTTCAATTTTCTTCGGTACCTAAGAGGGTCAAGTTAAGTGCCTTGCATCAGATGCAATAGAGGAGGAAAAAAAAGATGTTTTTGGTCATTGAAGTTATTCAATTCTGATTAGAATATTTGGGCTCAGGATGCTGCCATGGGGCTGGTGCTGAGTGCTGCGGTTGGTAGAGGATGGACCACAGGTTCAGGGATGGAAGGTCCCTCTGTTCCTGCAGTTGGTAGGGATAAGGAATCGGGGAACATCTCCACTTTCCCGTGGTCTCTCTTCACAAAATCCCCTAGGAGAAGAATGCTGGTGGCTTTTACTTGTACTATCTGTGGCCAGAGAACTACACGAGCTATTAATCCCCACGCTTACACTGATGGCACTGTTTTTGTGCAGGTAACTTTTTGTTTTTGTTATTACTTTACCATCACAGGTCTCACTAAGTTTCTTCAACTGAGGTTGGAATCAAATCATAAACCAATAGCAGTTTGCAAAACCAAACTGATTCATGGTTTAATGAAAAGATTTGATTGAACTGTTTTTCTAGTGTCTAAATGAAATGAATGTTTATCATTATATGAATAAAAATAAAGCATGTATTGACGTGTTTGTCATGCTGGTAGACAAGTGCTGGAATGGCTTGCCACATATCACCAAAAGATAAATTCAATACCTGCATAGCACTTCAATCATTTTTCAATTTTAAAACATTGAACTGGCTCATGGACAAACTGACTGGTTTATGTGGTTCAATGTTTCTAAAGCTGGTTTTAAATTAATGGTTTTTGTGGCTTGATCAAACTGGTTGATCTCTTGCCCATGGCTGAACCAGTGACACTAATTGGTGTAGTGTCGGTTTGGAAAAACTTTATTTATTTATTTATTCTGTGATATTATCATAGAATGAGAAGTTTTATCTCTTCTCTAGTTCTCTTCTACTTTCCATGTATTAGAGAAAGAGACTTGTTAGTTTAATACTACAAAAGTAGGTAATGTTATAACTTTATATATATTTTGATACATAATTTTATTTGTTCAATTGACATATATGTATATGATATTTTTTAACATATTGTTACATAATTGTTTATATGTGGGGGTGGGGCTGAACTCTAAAACCTTAAACCAGATCCTGACCATTTGTCATTGTTGTCAGTGTTGTGGATGCAATGCATATCATAAGCTCGTGGATCACTTGAACTTGTTTCAGGAGACAAATTGCTATTTGAATTCAAGTTTCAATTATAAAGGAGAAGGATGGGATGATCTCAAGTTTAGGTATATGGATGATAACGATGACGACGACATATTTCCCATTTCATAACTGAGTTGTCATATGGAGCATATACTTTGTGCCTGATAGTATGGAAGTTCAGTTTAGATGTCTTGTATATTCTCTAGGTTTTCATGCTTTATAGTAAACTTTGTAAGGGACTCGTATAGTAATGTTTATATATAGCTTTGAACTCATTTGTATGATTATCAATTTGATAATTTACAGGACATTACATAAATTTTTCTTTTGCTGCTCTACACTCAGTGAAATCATTAGAATATTTTTTTTCCTTTGAATTTCTGCCATTGCTTGCTAGGGTGTCTCTGACAGGCTAACCATTGTTATTTATCCTCCACCCCAGTTTTTATTTTCCCATTTTATTTCCTTGGTAAGATTTTCCATAGAGTCGATGATGGTAGTAGTGACACTGGGATTGCACATTTGTGTATGTTTGCGACTGTACAACAGGATTTTGCAGAACCTAACCATAATTAGGTCTCTAGTGTGATTTTAGCTGCAGTAGAGGGGGGAAAAAAGGACGCCAACTCATTTCAGGAAAATCTGCTAGTTGATTTTATATTTTTCACTTAAAATAGCTGCCATGCACATACTTTAACTTAGCTTACAGCTTGCATCACAATAAGCTTTCTTGAAAGAGGTCTAAGGATGAAATAAGCCATACAGAAAATGTAATGCTTGATAGTTGTGTTAATCCTTTGTATCCTTTACACATCCCTGCCCTTTTAAATATATGGAAGCCGAAAACAATGGAAAATGGACTCACTGGGACTCTTTTTTGTATGATAAACTGAGATAGAGATGTTCGTGGATTTAGCCATGTAGATCCTTTTTTACCTGCAACCTATCACGGTTTTGCTTTATGAAGTTATTTTATTAGACTGAGTTTTTCATTCATTAATCTCTTTTCCATACTGTATCAAACCTGGTTTCAGGTTCTTGCACGCAAACTTAATTAGTAAAATCAATCGTAGCTTATTACTGGGTTCAAATTCAAATGCTTCGAAAATCTACCATCCATTCATTACATAAAAATTACAACGTTCCTGACTAATGACAACGCAATGGAAACTTAGGGAAAAAAATATACTAGCTAGAAATGTAAACAATATAGGGCTAAGGCTTATGGGTATTTACATACAATGGTCAACAATGCAAAGTTTGATTGTCTAAGCAGGAACTTATGAGACCCTGCGGTTGTGTTTCTGCTGTTGGTTCACCTGATTAATATTGTTCAGAACCAACTTCACGTTCAATTTTTTGTAGTTTGGTATTTAGTGTTTTTTAATTGCCAAAGCATAAGGGGAGCTATAGAATCTACAGTTACAGTGCGATTCCTTCTGACATCTTTGTAATTTATAGTCTGATAAGCTATAAACAACAATTTTGCCGAGGCAAAATGAAGCAAAACGTGACAATGTTTATGGCTCGAGAGCATAGTGGTCTCGACCTCAGACCAAAGTATCCGTGCAGCAGTTATTGCTAGTTGTGCCACCCGCAATAGGAGGAGGAGGAGCAGCACGGATCATTAGACTCAGAACAAATGCTATCATCTGAAATACAATGTGTAATGCGTTAAGTCCATTACTAAGGAAAGTTGGCAGAAACCAAATAACAAATGATGATGAAAAGTTCAAGTAGATAAGCCAAAAGTCAATGATTATTAAACCGCATATTGTTAATGAATGTACGTAATGCTAATATCGTTGTCCACACCGACAATATCAGCATTCAGAACATACTGAACTTAATTCATTTTGATATTTTCAGTTTGAGTTAGTCATTGGTTTAATCATGGTAGAATGAAACTCCATATCAGCCCTCCCCTTGGATCCTTTTGGTATTATGCCGTAGCAACTTCTGCAACTCCTATTTTCAGTGAGTTGGAAGCTGTTAATTATAGTTCAAGCTTCTTCCAAATTTCATTACTAGAGATGAGAGCTTAGAAAGCATATATCCATGATACTATCTAGATTTAATATCACTACGATTGCGTCATTTTCTCGGGTCTCCCAATAATTAACCCCATAAATGATGGATCTTGAGGTTGAAATCTTACCATTACGAGGCCAAGACACATTAGACTGAAGCCAGGATAATTAAACGGTGCATCTTCTGACAGGAATAAGGCTGCATACAATGGATGGAGAATCTTATCAGTTTTTTCTTATCACATAATTCATTAGTACAATATACGCCCTTAAGATTTTACTTCTCATTATGGTTATACCTGTCAGTGGACTGATAACTAACGGAGCGATGATGCTGGCGAAGGAACTAATTCCTGAAAGACATCCTTGAACCATTCCCTAAATCAAAGACTGATAGTTAGACTAAAAGAAAAAGGAAGAGATCAATTCTGTGCAACGCGTATAAATGTGAAGTTTAACAAAGTTGTTACTCAAGGTTGCAAAGAGTTTGCAATGATAGAAACTGAACTTTCTGAGAATATATTTAAGCAAATGAAGGAAACCCAAGTCCTTTTTTCAATTGAAGATACCTGTTCATTAGATTCAACTTGCTTCGATGCGATGCTGGATAACTGTGCCAGCCACGTTGTGAGAGTTAGAGTAGTATTTCAAACTAATAAAACAAAAACAATTCGGTTGAGTGTTTAACAGATACGTTAGAAACTTACACTTGGCCCAGAAAAAACTGAGAACACAGAGAAAACTGCCAGAGCATAAGGAACCTGCATGGTTTTCAACAGTTTTAAAGGTTTTGTTGGTTTCTAAAACTGATAAGAAAGCAACAAAGTGTTAGAAGAAAATTACCCATGGTGACCATGCTACGCTGTAGACAAGGACCTGCGTAGCATCATATATTAGAAGTGTCATTATTAGCTCCAGTATGCTCATTTGTTATGCACTTTGGGTTGTATACATGATAGAAAATCTTGGGAAGAGTGAGATTGAACTTACATCTATGCAGTTAACCAAGAGCGCTGTGGAGAGCAGCTTCTCCTCTCCCATAACTGACACTAAAAGGGGCATGAAAAATAGCTGCAAGTACACAAAACCAACCACATGGCCATTAAAGCAAGCAACTTTTCCATGGAATTTAGGGAAACTGAAAATATTGAATTGTTTAAAGAACATGTTAAAATAACAGACAGCAAGCTATACTAGGACTCTAGGCGTACTTGTGCAAAAGTGGCTCCAACCGCAGTAATCATCATTGTTGTTGCAAACTGGTCCTTGTTGAATTGAAAACGTGCCTTTAAATAATACTGCATGTAGTAAGAAATTTAATTAATTTAGTCCTTCATAATCCAATAAAACTTAAGGTGTAATTCTTTAGGTGCTTTTAATGCAGTTGTCTAATCATAATTAAAGCTTCACTTCAAGACCTTTAACCAAACCTTATAAAACTTTAATTCTTACAAGCACTTGAATAACCAAACGCTTCTAAGCTCAACAAAAATCTTAATATCTCACCATCTTGACTACATTCAGTTTAGAAAGAGTACTTTACCAGCAATACAGCCAGCAAGCCACTGGCCACAAGACTATTGAAGAACGAAACAATTGCTACTTGCGAGAACGTGGGACTGCAAAATTGTGAGATCAACAACTCCATCAAATTTCAAATATGTTGGTAATAGGAAGGTGTCCACAAAGAGATTTTGTCCAATTCATGCAATCTCTTACCTACACTTGAGCAAGCGAATCAAATCCCACAAAGAGGGCAGTTTCTTAAATGCTGTTGTCTTACGCGATGAATCATCACCAGGACATGGCTCCTCGCCCTCTTTCAATAATGGCTGGCTAGTGCCAACACCAGGTACACTCTCCTTAAGGAAAATTCTCATGTACACCAATGCAATCATTGACGAGACAGCAGCAACCTGAATAATTAAACCAAATCGTTAATGTAGGTAAACATGGATAATGGTATGTTTAATTACAAAGATGGATGTAGGAACCATAATAGAGAGGACAATGGAACCTGAAATGTTAAGGCAGTGGATAGGAAACGAGCTGCTAATGATCCACAGACAAATGTTGCTGATCCAACACCAGCAAGTGCTCCAAACGATGATGTTCGTTTCCCATGTGGAACCATGTCTGCCTACTCATAACATCAAATACCACAACATGTTATAATTTGTGTGCCATGGCTAGTATTTTCTTATGATCATTGATTTCACCAGCTAACAACCATTTTCTGTATGTAGAATGACATCGAGTGAGTCTATGATTTGTTTGAATAAACTTTTTCACAAACACTTAGAGAATAATGAAATAAGAAAGTAAAATAAATTGAGCTTCTCTGTAGAAAACGCTCTTCTCTAATTCTTCCTAAACATGAGGTGAATGAGTTAATTTTAGGTTATGAAATTAGTTTATAAGATGGAGAGATGAGAAGTACCACGTATGTACAAGACAGGCAGTGGAAGGACCCTTCGCCTACCATGGCAGCAAGAGTTTTCACAGCATAGTACGCATAGAAGAATTTGGTCTCCCTGCTATATGCCAATATCACTGCAAATGTATTCATAAAATTCATTTTTAGCCAGTTAACCTTGATATAAGCTAACTAAACAAAACAATATTGTTATGTGTGTTAAAGTACTGCATCATTCTTTTGTAAATCATCGATGGAAGTACGCTGAAACTTGGTGGTTAACACATTTTTGTTTTGAAGGGTCTTTTTTAAAGGAAACTGGTGATTCCTATTCTGCAGTATTAATAACTTTCGAAGCATTATATATTCAACACTTGACATATTTTAAAGTCACCAACCTAGGTTAGAAATATATTATTAATATGAAAAATAATACTTATTATAAAATCCACGATATTTTTCGTTTTGTTTTTCAAATTACATTGAATCAATAGATAAGATTAAACAGTGGTGAATGATCCTCTAGCACCGAATGTAGAAGGAAAACTGTCAGTTTCCTACTTTATGTTTGTCCCACCAAAAAAATCACTGCTTTACGATAGAAGTTGAAAATGAGGGAGTTTAGTGGGTTCATTTCTCGCCTCGTCACGTTTGGAATTAAAGCTACAACGACATAGGACCACACGAGGTTGTCATAATAAGATCAAGACCGAACAGCCTCTCCCATATAGTTCCCACTATTTTTTAATTAACAATAAATAAAGTCATGCTGGGTATAAATAATGCGATGCAGAAAGTAGCATGGTTTCTGGATATAAGGACTTTGCTCTTCTAGGTCTCTTATGTCATCCATTAGGCTCCCACCAAGGGAGCACCTTCGTTAATTCATCAAAAGTGCTTTCTTATCAATTTTACTTTTTAAAACAAAAACTATATTTTAGATAATACTAATTAAATGTACTCATATTTAAATTCATATAAAGGTTACTCAATATTACTATTATGAAGTAAAATGTGTTAAAGAGCTTTTGAAAAGGTTTAATATTAGAAAAATGAAAGAGGAGGTGAAGTAGACAAACCTTGAGGAATGACAGTGAGCGTGAGAGGAAGAGTGATCAAGGTTTTCCTGCCATACTTGTCGGACAAGTTTCCTATCAATGGCGTCACCAACACTGACCCCACTCCAGCTACCTGCAACACAATTCCACTCTTGCTCAGTTTCTTCTTCTACGTTGATCCATTCTTTTTCTTTCCACATTCTAACTTTTATTTATTGCTCCAATTACTTTTTCACTTGGGCTTCCCCACTATAGTGAAATAATGGGTGCACGTGTCACCAAAGTGTCCAGACATACGAAGAGTTAAGCAGATACTATACTCATGGGTAAGGGAACATTGTATGGTTTATCAAGAAAATGTGACTACAAAAATTAAGGTTCATGTCAGAAGTATGAATGTGATGCCCACAGCGCCGCGACTACCGAGGAGAGTCATTTCACGTGAAAAACATGTTTGTAGAACAAAAACAAAGGTACAGTTAAACCATAAAGATAGTATCAAATTTTAGCAGGGAGAGTAACTTGCACATGGTAAAAAGTAAGTTTAGAACAAAATAAAACCAAGGTACAGTAAAACCAAATAAAATAAATTGTAAGTTTCTGATACTGATGTTCAGTTTGACCCAATTGGTACCATTACATAAATAAACTCTTGCTTATAAAATGGACCAACCACCCTTTTCAAACCCTGACGTCACAATCCAGAACATTATCTCTAAAACCGCGTCTAAAAATAATTGAATACTATTTATTTAATTATAAATTATTATCGATGTAACTAAAATAACTATTATAACAATCTTATCCTTATAGGAGTTTCCGAAAGTTAGCTTCGTGAATGCCCAAACCGCACACCGCAACTCAGAAAACAAATGAACATTTTCTAAATACTTCGAAACCCCGTTTCATCTCTCAGGTTAAGATATTTTTAGATATATAAATATTTTCAAAAATAAAAAAACATAATTTTGAATAAAATAGTATGCCAGAATTTTTATAAAATTGACGATTTTATTTTTCCTGGAAGTGTTTGGAGATATACAGTTACGATGAAATTGATGGTGGCATCGGAGTTGACTTATTTCCCACCTTCAATTCAGCGAGTTCTTGTGGAAGAAGTTAGGAAGAAGAGAAAGGAATTTAGAAGGAGTTAGAAATTGAAGTGAATGAAGAAAAAAGAGATAGGGAAAAAGATTTGGTGCAGAGTGTGTGTATATATATATAATATATATATATACTCACAGCTTGTTGAATTCCGGTGAGGTAAATGGCAAGAGAGCACTGATCCTGGCCAGGGCAAAGTGCATCCATGGTAACGTCAGTGATTGCTGTGAGAGCGATAACCCCGCCAAAACCCGATAGGAATATCGTGACATAAAGATGGCTCAACCCTGCGAATCCCTCCATCCCAAAGCCTCTCTCAATTATTCAGTTCTTCCAAAACAGAAAACACGACCCAAAGTTGAACGTTAGTTGCGGTCACGAATGTCCGAGACTACAACACAAGTATTTATGGAAGGACAGATGATTAGATTTTTATAGCATTATTTATTTATTCTATTTAATCTTTTTTATTAATAGGAAAAAAAAATATGATTTTAAAATTTGAATATGAATTCTTCTTTTTATCATGGATGATGTTGGGTGAGTGGTGTCTTGAAAGTTGTGCCAATTTTGTAGACTAGTGGAGAGGAGGAAGAGAGAGAAAATAAGATTCCTGTACTGTGCTGTATGATATTTTTATTAAGACCAATGCAAGGCAAAGAAGCAAGCAAAAGGGTCAAGAGACGTAGCTTCCAAGTTCCCGAAAGTGTTTTCGAGGTCCTTTAACGAAAGTTCCTATTTCATTTGGATTTTTCGTTTTGTTTTGAAAACGTCACGATTTCCACTTATTTTTCAGCACCTCCCATCACATCTCTTACCATAAACAACTCTTTCCTGTTTTGTATTTTTACTACTCACACTTCATTCCGATTCTTCTCCTCGTTCAAAGTTGGGGAGTCGGAATCAAAGGATTTTTGGAGGGAGATAGACTTGTGCCCAATCTGCTTGCTACATTTAACCTATTAATTTGGGAAGCGTTGATAACGAAATTGATAGTTGCTGTGTTGAGTGAAGTTACCATTTAGCTTTATAGTTCACTCGGTTATCCAATCTTCCTTTCTCAGTTTCAAATTTGGCTCAACCACACGTCCAAATTTTCACTGAGGAGAATTTGATGACTTTAATAATAAACATTTATAAATTACTCATCAAATATTATATGAATTTATTATTATTAATGACTTATGAAAAATATTTCTTCTCGTATCAGAAAACCATCTACACAATGCGTAGATTAGGTACAAGATTAGAAAATGACTTTGGCAATTTCCCTTAAGAAATGGATAATGTCAACATGGAAATGTGCTCCATTATTGAGGTGCTTATCGTATTATGTTGATTAATTAGTTGAATATTATTAATGGACAACGACTTCAAACTCAATATAGTTTAACTTGTGACTTTCTTTTTGCAATTAAACTAAAATATGATGACCAATTATATGTTCAAACAAAACAATCCAGGGTCCCTTTCTTCCTCAAAAAAAGAAAGCCCGTGGTGGCAGAATTCTGTATCCAAAAACTTTGTTTTTTTCTACTTTTTCTTTTTCAATTCTTTTAACTAACTCTCTTTTGTAGACATCTTCAACTCCATCCCATTAAGAAAAATAATATTCTCCGAAAAGAAAATTACATTTTGAATGGGTATGAGATCCTCGAAGAAGAATAATAATAATAATACAAATTTTAAATGTATTAAGATAATAATAGAAATAATGTTAAAAATATAAAATATTTGATAAATTATCAATCTACTTGTATTAATAAAAAAATATTAAATAAATTCGCATCTGATTCGATTCCTTACAAATACAGCATATTTAATTTGTTTTATATAATGTAATGTATTTATTTGTCTTTGTTTCTACGCATGTAACAATGTCACATGATCTTCATTATTTGGGTATTGATATGTGTAGAACAATTTTAATAAGTCAAAAAATTTTAAAATAATTGTGGTTGTATAAACTATATATAACGTTAATGGTGAAAGTAAAAGTAAAGAATTTTGAGAAGAGGGGTCAAAAAGAAAAGAACTTCAACAAAGAAGAAAACGCTTTTGTTTTTGGACTGAGTGTTTGAATGTTAGGTTTCAATGGTGTGGCTCAGTCTAGGGATTCTGGTCCCAGTGAAAAATGGAAGACAATCCAAATTCTATACAACATCGGAAAAAAATGGATAAATACGAGGATAGGAAATGGAAAACAAATTTGAGTACACAAAACTAAACGTATGTACGAATATATCAGCGTATCAGTACTATGTTATTTAACGTGTCTTTTTTTTTTTTATATATAAATTAATTATATTTTTAATATAATTATAATCTTATTGCTATATTATTTTTAATTAATACTCACATTAATCAAAACAAAATTTGATTGTTAGTTATTAAGTAATTGGGTGGGAGAAAATGTTTTTAATAAAAAAGAACGTAAGGATACTATCATAAAAATTCTCTATTCATTTGCGTACCATTTTATAGGATTTATAGTTACATTTTTGCTTTAAAATATAGTATAATGTTGTCTTTTTGTATTTATTATTTTAATTAGTTGAACGAATATTTTTTAGTTAAATAAAGTGTTAAAAAAATCAAATCATCAAAATCAATCTATAATCATACCGAACCAAAAAATAATAATTATTGGATTGATTTTATGCACTATCCAGTTCAATAAAAAGTATTCCAAGCCAAAAGTAAATAAATTTTAGAATCAACATAATTGGGCGATATTTGACTCTTGAAAATCTTGTATTTTAATGATATAATAATTTATATTAATAATTTCTATTAACAAAAAGAATTAACAAACAGAAAGATAGTTGAATGTAAAATACTAATCATGTTATTTTTACGATATTCGCAAATAAATTTCTAAATTTGATTCCTAATTTGTCTTTTCTCTTGAAGAAGGTGGTATAATGAAAGTAGGTACTTTGCAGGACAAAATTATAGTGCACTAACACAAATTGATTCTTGCAAGGACCACTATTAAAAATTCTAGGACATACCCATTTAGAAGTGGACATACCTACTTGTAAACAATTAGAAATTTAGATATGTATTGAATGTAATGGATTATGTTTTTTTATAAAAAAATCAATATTTTAAGAAAATTAAATATATTGAATTTTAATTTTTAAAATTCAAATGATTCACTACTGCAGAAGGAGCATTCAACGTCGGGTGTAGAAGGCTTTCAACGTCGGTTCCAATGATGTCGTTGAATCAGGCGTCGTTGAATGTCAAAGGATTCTATGTCGGTTCATCATACCCGACGTTGAAAGTGGTAGACATCTACGTCGGTTATTGAACTAACCGAGCGTTGAAGTCGCTCAAGCGACCGTGTACTCGCTTGAGCGACGAAGCCTTCAAACCAAAGGGACCCTCGGTTGTCGTTTCGCTCAAGCGACCGGAGTTTTCGCTCAAGCGACCGAGCGTCACAACGTCGGTTAATGCAAAGGCGACGTAGAAATGAGTAAATTCTACGTCGCTTATTGGATAACCGACGTTGAAAGTCCTTTATCGCTCAAGCGACCGGTGTACTCGCTTGAGCAACGAAGCCTTCAAACAAAGGGGGCGCTCGGGTGCTGTTTCGCTCAAGCGACCGAGTTTTCGCTCAAGCGACCGACGTCACAACGTCGGTTAATGCAAAGGCGACGTAGAAATGAGTAAATTCTACGTCGCTTATTGGATAACCGACGTTGAAAGTCCTTTATCGCTCAAGCGACCCGTGTACTCGCTTGAGCGACGAAGCCTTCAAACCAAAGGGACCCTCGGTTGCTGTTTCGCTCAAGCGACCGAGTTTTCGCTCAAGCGACCGACGTCACAACGTCGGTTAATGCAAAGGCGACGTAGAAATGAGTAAATTCTACGTCGCTTATTGGATAACCGACGTTGAAAGTCCTTATCGCTCAAGCGACCAGTGTACTCGCTTGAGCGACGAAGCCTTCAAACAAAGGGGCGCTCGGGTGTCTGTTTCGCTCACGCGACCGACGTTTCGCTCAAGCGAAAGACGTTTCAACGTCGGTTAATGCAATAACCGACGTAGAATATCCATTTTTTTAAAAAAATTTGGTCTGTTTTTGTGCTACCATACACGACCTGCTATATAAATCTCAGTCCAACCAGATTTACACAATACATAATATATACACAATACACAATCTCAGCCTGATTCACATAATCACTATATATTTACACAATACACTTACAATCTCAGTCCGACCACATTATGTACATAATACACAAAAATTATCAATCAATCCTATTATTCCTAACTACTTGCACAAACCTTTCTGCCCATTTGTTTCTAACCATGTCTATTGTATCCATAGGCAAAGGTTCTATATCTTTAAATGCCCGTAAGAAGTTCACAATAATAGAATGGTAAACCCTAAGCAATAAAAATAAAGGAATTGAATATAATAGCAAATGTCAACTTACCTCGTCCCAACTATCCCGAATGCAACCAAAAATGATGAGCCATATCCAATACATTACATAGTAGCCGCACTCGTAGCCTCCATTTTGTTTGTTACACTAAAAATGAGTATATATATTAAAAATAACTATTAAATTTGAACGTAAATTAATAGATAGTATAATATATATAAAGGCTACTTACTTTCATAAAATTCCAATTTGGAGTCGTGCTTTTACTTGTGTGTTTTCCATCTAATGTACTACAAACCTTTAAAGCACTATATATTGAAAATAAGGGGATTAGAAATAGAATAATCAAGATGTTTAGACATAATATAATAAATACTTACTCGTTTACAATATTTTTTAGCTCCATGTCCGGTTTTCTTCCCAATGAGCAGAACCAACACACAAGATTCTCGCTTTGGACAAATAACTAATAGCTGCGAGTGGTTTCTGTATATACACATGATTAGAATCTATTAAAAAAACTTGTGTAAAACCAGAAGAGGCTGGGATAACTTACGAATGATGGTATGCTCCAAGGTAAATATCTCTTTTAGAGACAGTCATCCAATTCTGGATGTAACTGACAATTTGACCACGCTTATTCCCAGACTTTTGTATGGATTGAGGCTCGAAGAATCCATACACGTGACCAATGCCCTCGCTCCATTATCATTTCGTGCATCATCCTAAAATATGCCAATTTAAGTGAACTTATAGCTTATATATTTACTAAAATGAAAAGAGTCATGAAAGATATGAACTTACAATGTCCAAAATTGTAAAACAACCTATATTTAGACATTGATTGCCCATCCCAATCTCCAGGGCATCGAGTGTGGGAAATCTAGAGGGGATATTGCTAGAAG